AATGAAATAGAAAAGAAACAGGAATATCAAAAGAAAAGTAAATATAATATCTTTAAAAGTAAAGAAATGGATTCTGATTGATAGAACACATAATATCAGAAATGGAAAAGACATTGCTATAGATGCTTTAGACATTAAAACAATAAAATAGGATTTTCTCTGAATTTTATTTAGTTTAATGAGTTGATTTTATTTAGTCGTTTATGAGTTCATATCAATAAAGTTGAAATTATGAGATTACTTGGACAATTTTCTAGAAAATACAACTTACCAGTACTGACAAGAATTATCACACTAAATAAAATAAACATACCCCAAAATCTTACCGTAGCTCTAGATAGCTTCCCTGTTAAATGTCCTGAATATTCAAAGAGCAAATAACTCTAATCTTACAAACTCTTTCAGAGACTAGAACAGGAGAGACAACGTCCCAGCTCACTTTTTGACTCCCACGCGACATGGCAGTACAAGAGCAGAAGTTGGCAGGCTGGTGCAGTCACAGGCGTACGTGTATGAGGCTAATCTCTCTCTCCTCGGTGTGTTTGCTCAGGGGCCTCACCTGTGCCCTGAGAGTGGCACTATACTGTGACGTTGCTGTTGATGTTTCCACAGCGCTGTACTCAAGCTTTTGAAAAGAGCTTTAGTTTGCAAACTTTGGTGCATTTGTATCACTTTCGTTCCTAGCTTCTTCAGTTTTATAGATTAAGATTTCTGCATAACAAACTGCCCTACATCAAAGAACACCTGGACCAACAAAAAACAAGTGTCTGGTTTTCTAGTCTGTGGTGATTTTTTTTTCAGTATCTGGAAATAATTGACATACATGTTTTTCTTGCCACAGTGGTTCGCCTTTTTAGCTGAGCTGCCTAGTCAAAGCTGGTGTAAATCACACTGATGTTCTAATCCTAAATAAGGTGCAAACTAATTTTACAATGCATTCTTTTAAGATTTTGAGGGTCCAGTTGACGTCTCAGAAATGTACCTGTATTCTGAACAAAAGTATTTTGGGGAAATTTAGTACTGATATTGCTGAGTTTTTCATTCCTTGCAGTAAATTTCTCAATTTCATTGCACTGATTCCGTTACGAATTTGGTAATCACATTAAGCCCTCTTTGTGCAGCTGAATCATACTGAAGTAACCACCCAACAAGAGCACGGGAAGATGTATTTTGCATTACTGATTTGACTTCATTATAATTTTCTAATGTTTCAAATTTCCTGTCAGACTCTAACAATACCAATAATGTAAAAAGTCATTTTTTTGTCTTCGATTTATTAGGAAAACTTGGTTTTCAACTCAGATTTCTTTTTCAGTTTGGAAATGAAAAAAAAAACATCATACCTAATACCATACGTATGCTAGTCTTTTATCATTTTATTCACATGCTGTTTTGTTAGATGGAGGTAATCAGAAAAATTTGCTGCAATAATTGTTTCATGATTAAGTGGGGAGATTCGCTGAGTGTGTCTCTCAGAAATGTAAGCCTGATCGAGCTCGAGCCTGCTACCTCACAGGGAAAGCAGCCTCCAAGCGGAGAGGGAATGGTGCAGGGAAGGAGGAAAATGAGGCAGCAGCACAGAGGTCCTGTAACCCGGCCTTTCCATATGCTGCACTTAACTGTTTAAATGCATAAAACTGAAGAGATGGTGTCCCACATGTGCCCCAAGGCAAACAATATAAAACTTTTGGTGACAATGTGTTTGAGAGACAAACCCAAGTAAAATTATGAGCTTCCTTCTCTTTCCTACAATATTTTCACCTGGGGAAAACAATTAGGAAGGCACAGACATGAAATCCATAGATGAAATAAAGCTTGAAAAAAGGAATAAAATCAATCTAAATAAAAGCAACTGAAAGAATATGAATTCACATCAAGATAATAAGTCCTCTGAAATGGCCAAGAAATGTTTAGAAAAACAAATTCCTGCAGGCTCAAAAAAATTACTATATTATTCTCTATAAAAATAAGAGCTCAAAGGAGAGGAAGGATCAAGGAAAATATAATCAACAAAAGGAATCCAAAAGTAAGCATGATCAGCTCAAAGACAAAGTAGAAGAAAAGATGAACATACGACAGAGATGAGCACCACAGTAAAGGACTTAAAAATCAGCAAGACCGGAAGCCCTGCAGGGGACAAGCCGGGTAGGATTAGGGAGTCCCACAAACACAATAAAAATAAAAAACAAATGATAACTAAAAATTAAGAAAAAGGATTTTGAAAACATAGATGGTGATCTGACATGTGCTTAATTGGTGTTCCTGCAGAAAAGACAGATCAAAAAGAAAAATAATTATTTCAACCCTAACAAAAGAAAACCTCCTTAAAGTAAAGACTTGAATATTTAGCAAAAGAGCACATTATGGTCCTGCAAAAAAAATATGGTACAAAATGATCATCAGAAAAATATATCCTGATGAAATTAATGAACAAAAATTAAAGACCTATGAGGAGATGATAAGGCAGAAAAAGCAAAGGATGTATAAGAGGTAACATGGGTGAAGATGAGAAGCATCTCGGGCATCTCTTAAAATAAAAACAAAGCACTCAATGCAGGCCGGGCGCGGTGGCTCACACCTGTAATCCTAGCACTCTGGGAGGCCGAGGCGGGCGGATTGTTTGAGCTCAGGAGTTCGAAACCAGCCTGAGCAAGAGCGAGACCCCGTCTCTACTAAAAATAGAAAGAAATTAATCGGACGACTAAAAATATATAGAAAAATTAGCCGGGCACGGTGGCGCATGCCTGTAGTCCCAGCTACTCGGGAGGCTGAGGCAGGAGGATCGCTTGAGCCCAGGAGTGTGAGGTTGCTGTGAGCTAGGCTGACGCCACGGCACTCACTCTAGCCCAGGCAACACAGTGAGACTCTGTCTCAAAAAAAAAAAAAAAGAAAATAAAATAAAACACTCAATGCCAGAAAAAAAAATGAGAGAAATGTCTTTACCTAACAATTTTAGTTATGGCTAAAGTGCTTCTCAAGTATAAAGGCATTCAAGAGGTTTTCTCAAAATCTTAATATTTACAGGAATATAATACTTCTTTATAAAATTCACTGACAAATTCTGGTCAACCTGAAGATAAAACAGAACTTAGAAATGAAGGAATCACCTCCAGTGAAAAGGTTAATGGTAAAACATTGAAACCATTTACGTATAGAGGATTGAACAGCTCTGAATTATGTTTACACAGGGAATAGAGATGTAAAACCCAACAATACAAAAATAATATAACAACAAGAAATGGGAGTTAGGTGGGAGGAGAGGAGGAAATATAAGTGGTCTTTCATAGTGGTAAATCCGTGGACACACTCTAAAGGCAAAATATAAGATTCATAAAAAGGCTCATTTTCTTAAACATTTTCATAAGATTTTTTATTGTCTTAAAAGTAAGCATCTTTTAGGGACAAGGAAAGTTACCCAACTGTGAAGTAAGGGAACAGTCTCCACAAGACCACCCTCACTTCTGACATCAATTGTGATTTGAAGAGTCCCTAAGACCACCCTTTGGTTTCATAATTTGCTAGAAGGACTCACAGAACTCGCTGACAGCTGTTACATTTGTGATTACAGCTCATGACAGCTAACGGATACAGGTTGAAATCTGCCCAGGAATGAGGCACACAGGCAGGACCGAGGAGGGTACCAGGGGTGAAGCTGTCAGTTGTCCTTTCTTGGGGATTCAGAACGTCCTTACACTCCTAGAATTGATGTGAGACAGTACACATGGAGTACTGCAACTAGGGAAGCTCACCTGAGATCCTTGTCCAGAGTCTCTTTGGGGCTCGATCACGCAAATCTGGTTGACTTCTATTTCCTGTCCCTCAGGAAGTCAAGCTGGGTGACCCAAAGCCCCCACTCTACATAACACTGTTGGCGAATCTCAGAGATCCTTCTCTAACTTGTGTTGTTACAATCTGCTTGGCCAAATCCCCTAAGACAAATACACTCCTATCAAAAATGACAATCCAAAGGCTTATAGATTACCTCCCAGAAGATGAGGTCAGACCTGTTTTTAGGCAAGGTTAAATTCTTTACTACACAGGGACGGATATCTCAGTTCTAGGCCCAACTCTGCCCCTGCTTGACTTTGTAACTTTGACAAGTTACTTTCCTCTGGGTTCAAAGTCTCCTGATATATTAATTCTAGAAATAATTTTGTGTTCCTTTTCCAACTCCTAAACTTACAAATCTGAATATGCAAAGGCACACAGGGCATGTATAGAAAGTCCCAGGGCCGACGTGTGCAGCCACACAGGTGTGGATTGCATGGTTCTGGGGCAGCCATTCCCTCGACTGCCACCATTGCCGGCTGTGGCTGTGCTCTGCGCATGTTCACACACATGGACATGAACGTTTAGGGATTTTTGAAGGTATGAAATCTATTTTTTTGTATGTGTTACCATAATGCAGCCATTTTTGTAATCTCATAAGGACCGCTTGAAGGCAGGAAGAAGGGAAATATTTCTAGCTGAGCAGTAATGCTCTGATCCAGACTCCTTCTAGAGATGCTGTGATATATTTAATTTCATTTGAATTATAAAATTATTCAATTTTTGACCATCAAGTTCCCTATATCTGATAACAGACACACTGAACAGTAATTTAGTGTGGAATTACTCTCACCCATATGTATGAAATAACACTAAAGCTGATATCACAAGTTGCTGGGCGATGAATAAAGCATGTCAATACAGGAGAGAAAGAATGGGCAATGAACAGGGCAATGTTCTCGTTTGGCCAAGATGACAGAGGCAGTTCCTGAACTTCTGGAATCCTTCTTTCTACTAGTCCTTAGGCAAGTGGCCAATGTCCTGTTATCCCAGTTATAGACAAAGACAGACCAACAAGGTGTCAGCTTGAATTTTAATAAAGAATTTTTATGTCTAGAATAACAATATATTTGCTTCACTGCCTCTTTCATTGGCCCTAATCTTAAAATGGGATAATATTAACTTCTACCTCTGAGTGTTTGGTGATTAAATATAGCTCTTAAGCTCTTAGCACAGTGTCTGGCATGCAGTAAGTGCTCAATCAATATTAGTTGCTCTCATTCGTATTTTAATTCATATTGTGATTCTAGTTTCATGCTGAATCGATTAATATTAAAAACCATAAATGTTTGTGCTTAATTTTTGATAATAAATAATACTACCACATTTATCTCACTAATATTATTCATCTTTCCCACTTACTTGCTCTATTAATAGATTTGTTCATTTCTCTCGTCTTCTCTCTCTCTCTCTCCCCTTTTCCTTCCCTCCCTTTCTCTCCTATTTGTCCCTTCATATTATTTTCTCTCACTTCATTTTATTACCTTTATGTTAGCGTACTACTTTCTAATTTAGCTTAATAAGATTACTGGTTTCATTGGTCAGTAAAACTTCATTTTTCTCATAGAAAAAGTAAGGGGGTTGAACTAAACCCAACCTGCAGTTCTTCCCCAGTGTCAAAATTTAGTGGATGTATGAGTCTCCATGACATGGTAACAATATGGCCATTACAGGGGCAGGGCAGCTGGACATATTTGTGATGGGGAGAGACAGCTGATTAGCTTGGTTGCCAACGCGATGAGGATGTTCTAACAAATCTGCCATCTTACACCACAATGGTGTAGGGAAGTACTCAATGTTAGTTTAAGGGCACTAAGGTGAAAAACCCAGGGAAAAAGGCCAAAGTAGTTTTCAAGTAACTACACTTTTTAGGCATTTGGTCACTTTTCTCGAGACTATAAGGAAAAAATGAGCCATGAAATCTTTGCATTCACATAGCTTACATTTTAGTTCTATTAAAACTTTCCATTTCAAGGGTGACTGCAAAAATGGTCCTCCTACCTGTAGTTGGCAGAGCCTGTACTGAATGCTGGATTGTGTCTGTGTCTTGGCATCACTCATTCGTGATTAAAACTAGTGGTGTTTGGCTAAGGGGAAGCACAACACGATAGAAATGAAATTAAACGCCAGTAAGTGAATGCCGTTCACTAATACCTTCAGTTTTGATTTTCAAATAATTTGTTTAATTTTGTATCAATAAAAGTTACTTGTTCTAATAAATCCATATTCTAATTATTTATTTCAATTGAGCATAAAATCTATTACCAGTACATGTCATTACACAAATAACTAAATGCTTGTTTATTTTGTTTCTTCAGCTTTTTTTCAAATTTGAATTGATCAAGTATGATTTTCAGAAAGATGAACCCATGAGAAATGAACAGAATTGGTGTAGTTGTGTGAAAAAAGGTAAGACTTGTATTTAAAGACGTCTCCTCAAATGCAGTTTCTGAACTTCCATATAGAGTCGTCGCTCAGTATCCTCAGAGCGATTGGTTCCAGGATCCCTGGTGGATATCAAAATCCACAGATGCTCCAGTTTCTTATATAAAATGGCATAGTGTTTGCATACAATCTACATACATCCTCCCAAATACTTTAAACGGATTACTTACAATACCTAATATAATGTAAACGATATGTAAATAGTTGTACTGTATTTTTAAATTCATGTTATTTTTTATTATTGTATCGTTATTTTTTATTGTTTTTTTCCCAAATATTTTGGATCCACGTTTGGTTGACTTCATGGATGCAGAACTGCAGACACAGAGGGCTGACTATAATACTGAATTATCAGTAGTATTTGCTGAAGAAAAAAATGGCTAGGTCCACTATGTAATTTGACTCTCTTGAATTTTGGTACAAGTGGAATGGTTTAATTATCAGGTGTTAAGAGCCCCAACTAGGTCACTGAGATGGTAAATTGTTAAAATTGAAAAGTGGTTACTATTTGGCTCATATTTTCCTTAATCCACCACTTCTATTTTGTAACAATGGCATATGTCTAATGTCCTATATCAGCAAACTATAATATAAAAATTAATGAATTAATTTATCATTCTGGATATAGTAGAAAGTCAGGCCAACTTCAGTTTAAACCTAGGCTCTGACACTTAGAAACCATGCAACTGTGGGCAGGTTAGTCAACGTGAGTCTCATTTTCTTCATATGTAAAGAAGTGGTGATGATATTTATTTTGTGAGGTTATCGTTGACAATTAAATGAGAGGTATGTAAATTCCTATAGAGGGCTGGCATGGGACTTGTTTCCTTCCTCCCCTCTTCTCGGCCTCTCACTCCCCTCCTCTACCAAGGCAGATTTTCTTGCAATTTGGGGTTAGAAATGTCAGTGAAAGCACGTGCCCCTATTAACTTGCTGCTATGTATAATCAAACTAGAAAATAAAATGTAGAGATGTACACTTAGAGTTCCAGTCTGAATAAATCTGGCCAAAATTACTGTTTACTGCCTCTGGATATGTTTAAACTACATTTCAGAGATAACTTTACTTCAAATGTGAAGATAAAGGTTGCATACCTGTTTTTATTTTCTGGTAGCTGAAAGATTGAAAAAAAATTGCAAGCTTTATCTATCAAAAAACAAATCTCCCAAATCTCTGTATTTTAAGCCTAAGGGCATTTAGCAAGTATCTTTCTCTAATGCAACTTGATGGATACTGTCCAAGAAAAAAGCACTTTCTGAAGAGATGACAAAGAACTTAAACACACTTTTCTAGTATTTTATTTATTACAATTACGATAATATCTGATATCGGAACTTGAATCTCAGAACTGTGCTTATACAGCCTCAGAGTTTCTTAAAAAGCCAGTTGAGCTGTGAGCTAGGATGATGCCACGGCACTCTAGCCCGGGCAACACAGTGAGACTCTGTCTCAAAAAAAAACAAAAAAAAAACAAAACTAGTTGACCCCAAATATCTGCTTTATGATTTTGGAATTCTCATTATGAGCTACTCAATATTTTTGTTTCCATTAAGGCCTTATGTCTTCACAATGTAAATTATTCCTAGACAGGAAACATATGAATAAACTATGACCTATTTAAATATTTGCAATCATTAATCAGCGAAGAAACTATCACCTATGTCCTGAAGAAGAAAAACAAAGAACATAAATTTTAAGAGAGATGTAAGAGTCTTAAAAATTCTGAAGTAAAGGGGACCTAGACTAACAGGATATATGTTGGAGGTGGACCCAGTTAAAAACAAAAAAAAAAAAACAGAAACAAAAACAAACAAACAAACGAAAAAAACCCTACTACATTTGCCAGCTGCTTGACATTGGGCAAAATTTTTTTTTTTTTTTTGGCCTCAATTTCTTGACCTGTAAAATGAAGACTTATCAGAGCCATTCTTGTAGGTTTATGATGAAGATTAGATGGAATACCTATGTAAGCACTCAGAATAATGACTGGGACTCAGAAAGTGCTCAATGGGGAAACAGTGGTAATGATGATGATATGATGGTGTTGGCAATTACAGTAATGATGAGGACGATGATGATGGGGGTCTCTGCTGGAGCAGAACAGATTTGTTTTGGCCAGTGGCATGTGTGCCTTTGGAAGCCAGAATGACCGGAAGGAGTGGGAGAAATGGGAATGAAATAAATAGTGCTGAAAGTACAAATTGCTTTGCAGTCTTCTGGGATCCAACTCTGTCTAACTAGCCACATGGATATTGCACCTCTTTACAGCAGGCAAAGCAAGTAGACAGTGGCCTTCAAGACTTCTGGGCCATGATTGCTGCCCTCCCTTCTCTTTTCACCTTATCTGAGAAGTAACTTTTACCTTACAGATTGCTGAGGGAAATCTTGGTTAACTTGAGTAAGTCTGATTCAAAAATTATTTTGAATAATGTGTCTAAATATAAGTGAAAGTAAAAAGTATCATGGGATAGGAGATCTTTTCAAAGTCTCATCTCTTTCGCATCAAGGATTTACAGAATAGCATCCCAGAGAAACAAATCATTTTCTTAAATGTCTAATAACATAATAACTAGATCAGATATAGTATTGTGCAGAAAACTTGCCCCCAAATCATAGAGATGTAATTTGAGTTCTATACTTCATTCCTCTGGGTCGTAGGTCTTTCCCTCTGAAATAGGGATTGTAGTATCAATTTCAAAGGATTTCTATGAAGTACAAGCAAGGTGACAGTTGCAAAGGGCTCATGTAAGTGCCCAATAAACATTGCTATCATCATTTTATTAAAATTATTATTATGGTTGTTATTTATATAGATGTCAGTGTTATCTGCGTTAACATCTACATAATCCAAAACAAAAATAGCCATTGCTCTATCCACGCAGGAAGTAAAAGAAATTTAATGCATCTTTTCTTTCCATTCAGTTCCCTTTTGGTTGGTTTTTCCGAAGTAGTTTGTGTTTGTGGTAGTCTGTAAAAGAATAAACTAGATGTGGGTACCAAGAGTAAGTGATGTTGAATCTTGAAATACATTCAGAGGAAAGTGAGCTGACCAATATCAGCGGTGTTGGCCAGATATAATTTAGATGCGTGCAAGGTGTGTGTAGCAATAATTTTAATCAGATAACTGCAAAGATGCCCTTCTCTGTTGCAGGAGAACCCGGACTTCTCATTTCTCCAGTGAATGCAAAGCATCCCTTTTTTGGTTATGCTGGGTCTTACGAGCACACAAAAAACAAATTGCTTTTTGATGTTTTTAAGAAGGGAGATGTTTACTTTAACACAGGAGACTTGATGGTCCAAGATCAGAATTTCCTTTATTTTTGGGACCGTATCGGAGATACTTTCAGGTATGAAATATTATGGGATGCACAGCTTGGTCTGTGATTGTGAGCCACGCGTCTGTGGAAGCATCAGAGACCACGTGCTCTGGCTTTCAGGGCAGGCAGAGCCTTTTTATCTCCATAATGTTTTCTCACTTAAAAATTTGTTGGCCATCTCTTTCTAGATTGAACTACATGTTAAATTTTGATGTAAAATTTTATAATTATTTTAACGAGCCAGTTCAAGTCAGTGTTTTCCTTTTTTAGGTTATAAAACTGGCAGACAGATGAGAAGTCTAAATGGTAGGGTTAAAACAGAAAATCAGTTTAGTCAAATATGGTCTAATTCTTAACCTAAAGATAAAAAATTAGAACAGCAAAATTCCCCTCTGTTACATTTTTAAAAATTCTCTAAGATTATCTTAGGCCTATGAAATTATTTCACTTTACTAGCCAATGACTAAGTAAAGCATTCAACAAATGCTTGAATGAATAAGTTACTTCCTATATCCTTGCCTTCTTGTACTATACTCTAAACTCACTTTATGCAAAATCATGTTAACTAAAATAAAATATTTATATGCATTAAAGGAGCCCAAAGGCTTTAATACCTAGATATTAAAGTGGGTGAGTATACTGAAACACAACTGTAGCTTTACTTTCATCAGAGACAGGGAATGACTTGCACTTAATTGTTGTTGTTTTACAAAATAAAGATTTTTGCAATGATAATCCTTATCACTACTTTATTTTCATGTGTATTATAAAACATTTTACCACAAGCAATTTATATTAATGAGATATAAAGTCATTTTAACTGAAAAACAGATGTTGATTCTGTTGAATTACCAACGATGTGCTTCCTTAGAAATATCTTTCATTTTGAAAACTACAGTTAGTATTGATCACTAGATGCTTGGAGGAGCCAAATGCAAGACATTAAAACTAAAACTGGATATCTAGTTCTTCAAATACGGGTGCACTAACTGGAATTTGTTTTTCATTTAGATGGAAAGGAGAAAACGTTTCAACCACAGAGGTTGCAGTTGGTTTGGGAATGTTGGATTTCATACAGGAAACAAACGTCTATGGTGTGGCCGTGTCAGGTATAAATAGATTTCAGATTTTGGAAAGATGCTCAGGATAGAATGTGATACCATTCTTTAGTTTTACAACAATCTTACTAATTCAACATTTTAATTTTTATGTATTAAGATAAACATCTTAGTCTTGTCTTGGCAGATAATGCCCTTGACCAAGCTAACAAACTTCATGGTCACATCAGGGGAAAGGTACCAACTGAATTTTAATGCCTGTGTTTATTTTTAAGCAGAGCTTGAAAACTCTGGTCAGTGACTCACTGCTTAAAAATTTGTTATAGCTTTTCAATAGTCTGTTATCTTTTTCTTTATGACTAGAGTTTGTACATACAACTAAACAGGAAGGTGTTCTACATTAAATGTTTAATAACACTATCTTGGACTTAAGGTGGATCTTTTAAAAAAATTATTTAAAATTTTTTCCTCATTATTTCTATAAATATGCATATGAGGATCATCTCACGATATTGAAAATAGCACAGGAAAGTGGCTAATTTGAAGTCACAGGACAGACATTCTCCATTTTCCAGCTGATGCTTGTAAGTGCAGGGGAGTCCAGGGGTGGGAGTGTTTGGGTAGGAGAGCAGAGGAAGGGAATGTTTACTTAATGTTAGAGAAAGGCTCCAGAATGTTCTGATCCCCTGTAAAGATCCATAGGTGATAAGCAGTCAGTGAGCTGCGGAATTAATTATGGAAATACTGGTTTCTAGTTTCTTAACTTAAAAATATGTCCTTTAATTTTTTTTGCATTAATGCTTAAAATGTACATTTCTATATTTGCCTTTAAATAAATGTTTCCTTTCTTAATATTTGTGTTAGTGGTGCTAGGATGCAAATTATAGGTAACTTATAGTGTTTTCCATTCCATCTATTTCATTTCTGTAGTGTAGACAATTAGGAATAGACTGGTCTTCCTTATTCTTAAATTGTTTCTAGAGAGTAAATAATATGCTCAGGGAAGGACACAGACCCATTCATGCTACGTTGCCTTGTTACCACTGCAATAGATTTAATGTAGCTGTAACGATTAGTAGGTAAGTAACAGAATTAATATTAAAAAATTAATCTAGTACTTACAAGATTGACTCTATTTCAAACTTTTTTTCAGGTTATGAAGGAAGAGCAGGAATGGCTTCTATTATTTTAAAACCAAATAAGTCTTTAGATTTGAAAAAAGTTTATGAACAAGTTGTAGCATCTCTACCAGCTTATGCCTGCCCACGATTTTTAAGAATTCAGGTAATTTTACTGTTTGAATTTCCTATCAAGTTTAAGACCAGGAAACCAGGAGGTAGTTTCATTGTAAAATAATACTGTATCCTTTAGATATGTGTATTTTATTCGTATTAGAAAATTTCAGGAGTAGGGAGAAGCACCAGGATATAGAGCTGATGCTGGCTGACACCACGTGTGATGCCCAGTTACAGAGGGAGCATGATGAAATGCTGGGACGTGTCTGTCTGTGCCCTGATTAGAGAATGGCTCTGTTCCTCTTCAGTCAGCACCTCAGAGCAAAATGTCCCAGTGGCAGTGGCAAGCCAGAACCATGCCTCACACACGCCTTGTGAAGACACTTGGTGCCGAGTGCCTTGAATCAGGTTCTGTCCAGGAGACATCAAGCAGTCTGCAGGGCGTGTGCAAAACCTGAAGGCAGCTGGCTTTCAGCAACTCCGTTTTGAATTTTATTGTCATTCTATTCAACCTCTCCCTCACCTGAACCTCACATTTCGGGGAATTCTAAGTTTAGTTATTTTTGGATGAAGGCTCTGTGTTGTTTGGTTACTAGTATAAAGTACAGTGAAAAGAAAATGAATTTACTCAACTACTGGGTAACTTTACTTACTCAACCATTGTTCATCTCTTAACATCCAATCACATAGACTTTTTCTGAATGTATTTGCTATATCTCTATTAGATCCCTAATGGAGCAATAGACTGTGTCATGTTCAGTTTTAAAGCAGTTACCAAGCAATCCTCATAGCAAAGTCACTACTCGGCCAATGAGACACATCATCTGAACTGTCATAAATACATATTTCATTTGCATTTTTTACTTTTCAGAGTTTTTACATAGTCTCGGGTTATTTTGGTAACATTCCTCTGTAATACTAAAGATAAGTAAATATGAAGCAGAAGTAATATATTTTAATTGAACTTGTATACAAATGGCTATAGATTTACATACAGTTATAAGAAATAACACAGAGAGATCCCGTATGTCCTTTACCCAGTTTTCCCCAAGGATAAACTTTTGCAAATCTATCACAATGAGGATATTAAAATAATCTACCCATCTTATTAAAATTTCTCCTGTTTTACTTGCACTGATGTGTGTGTATTTTCCATATACTTTATCATCCATGTAGCTTCATGCGTCCATGACCACAGCAAGGATATGAACATTCCAACACTACGAGGGTCCCTTATGGTGCCCTTTTATACCCACATCCCCCTCCCTCCCACCTCTCCTGACCCTACCCCATAAGTAATATATTTTCATAGAATAGAAAGTGGATACAGCAGATAATATTTTAAGTATTTTCACCCTATGGCTACTTAAAATTCACTTTCATTAAGCTGAAGACAGTATCTTGGCATAGGACTACTCTAGAAGACTAGATCAGCCTTGAACAAATTTAGAAAATATTTCAGGATTATTAAATACCTAAAAAGAACATGGACCATGACTGTTATGTTTATTACAGTATTTTCTATAGTTAGCACAAAGCCTGGCATTTATTTAATAAATGTGTTATGATAATAAATGATCTGATAAAAGGAATGAAAAAGTAAAAGTTACTTCTAACAAAATGAGTAAAAATATCTTATTAAAAATCTATTTAGTGCAAATTTAAAAAGAGAACCCTTTTGTCAGTAATGTATAAAAAAAAATTTTAAGTGTAATAATACTCAGTATAGCTGGGATAAGACGTCCTTTCGTTCTGTTTGTGGAGACACAAGTTGTTATAACCTCTCTAAAAAACAATTTGGTAATATGGTAATATATGAGAGTCTGCATATGTTTGGACTTACTAATTTCACTTTCAGAAATTTATCCTTAGGCAGGAATTAAAGATGCATAAATGTTATATGTGAAGATATTCCTCAAAGTATTATTTATGGTAGTCAAAGTTTTTATATTCTCTATAAGTTCAAGAATAAGGGCAAGGTTACTTAAAATATAATTAAATGAGACCTTATGAAACCATTTTTAAAAGTGCTGTTTTGATGAAAATTATTGGACCTAGGAAAATATACTTGGCATAATATTAAGTTAAAAATAGCAGAATACCAAATTGTATAAATACAGTAAGCTTCTAAATTTTTGGAAAAGAGAAAAAGGATACGTGGCCCACCCAGCCACATCTGACTCTGTGATGACCGTGGGGGGGGCGGGACAGGGGGAGATCAGGTCAGGGAAGGGGCTCAAAGTGAAGTTGTCTGGAATTAGTACAGAAGGATGAATGAAAATAGCCGGGTTACTCAGAATTTTATGTGGGTCCCTACATGTCACCCCAATTTAAACAGGTTGTTTTTCTGTCCCTGAAACTCCCACAAAGAAATACACTGTCTCCTTTAAATACCTTAAAGCAGAGATTCTTAAACTTTCTAGATTTGTGGTACCTTTAGTGTCTCAGTAATTTTTTTCATAGCACTCTTGGGTCAAAACAAATACCTAAACCTTTGTTTATACACTAGTTAAATCAAAACAAATAAATAAGTATTTAGGTTTAACAAATTAGTAGCCATTTGAAAAAATAATGCATATCAATCAAAAGGAAAAACACTTTCATTTTGTTTTCAAATGACCACAGTCTCTTCCCAAGGAGATGTGAGTTGGGCACTGCGGAGTTCTTCCTCGGCTTAATTCCACGTTCCAACGTGAGTTTTGGCTGTACTTGCTTTTTATCACGGCAACCACCAAAAACCCAATTTTGCAAAGATATGGCATCATTGAAAGAAAAGTATCATAAAACTACTTTGAAACTAGAGACTACCTTGAGCTGGTAGTTTGTGAGTGGTGACCAACGAATATCACTGGGTTTCCCTTGAAAACTTAATATATTCTGTGAGGCTGCTGGAAATTCACTGAGGTGTTCCAAGTTTGGGGACCCAAGTTTTAGGGTATCCTGTACCCCCTGTGGTTCTTGCAGAATTCTGCCTCGTGTAATAGATTTGTGTGTACTTGTGGAAGTTGCTTTTATCTCCTTACTGTCTCGTAGCATTCTCTGCACACAATAATATTGAATTGGCATTGAATCAAAGAGATAGCTTATGTGTTTTAGACCTACTTGTAATCAGTTTATTGATTATGTTCATAATTCTTATATATTGAATGAGTTAATATTTGAGTAAAGTTTACAGGTAATTCAAACTAAAGACTTAAATATGCTACAAGGTGATTTTTTATCTCTAATGTTTTTGGTAGTAAATGTAGAGAAGATTATTAGATGTAAAATGTTATTGTTAAATATTATATTCTATAGTGTTAGATATTTTAATTACATATAATAGCTCTTATAGATAATATTAAATGCATCCACTCATCTTAGTAATTGTTTTATAGGAAAAAATGGAAATGACAGGGACATTCAAACTACAGAAGTATCAATTGGTGGAAGATGGATTTAATCCACTGAAAATTTCTGATCCACTTTACTTCATGGATAACTTGGAAAAGTCTTATGTTCCACTGACCGAGGAAATTTATGATCAAATAATGTCAGGGGAGATAAAGCTTTAAGATTTTGTACGGTGATATTTTCATACTTTCCTAGGAAGAGAGAGAGGAGAGTATGGTATTCTTCATTATGAAATGGGGAAAGGGAACTGACATTAATTAAGTAGGTGCTATATTTCCTTAATATGGAAGAGAATTTCTTTAATCAAGTAAAACTTGAATTTAATTGATATAAACTTTAATTGATTATTGTTTTTACCCATTTGGGGATTCAGTGCGTAACTAAATATTTGTCTTAATGTTAAAGATTTTAAATAATGAATAAGTGGCTAACAGTAAAAATGTTTTTTTCTAATATGTAAAATCTCTAGTTTTGAATAAATCGGTAAATTTTATTGAAATATTATATTTTTATGTGTCCTGTCCTATAACTCAATAAAATCATCTTCATTAATACGTGTTTTGAGTTTTTGTTCTGATTTTTTTTACTGTAAATTTCCAAAGGAACTGACTAAATGCACCCACACTCATATCTCCTTTATTTTAAACTCACATTAAGATGATTGATAGAAGAAACATAAAAATTTGAAACAGCACAGCAGAAAAACTGGTAAGCTCAAAGCATTGAGGAATTTTTGAAGATATATAAATGGGATCAAATTGACAATAAAACCAACAGAGCTATTGTAACCGCTACTTCTACAGGGAAAGAAGAGAACAGAACCCCGGTATTACCGCCAAGATCAAAGTCAGAAAGGCTTCGAGTTTGAACAGGTTTGTGAGTAGTTAACTGGGAGATTTATTACAAGGATAGTCTAATGAGCACAGTTGTACTTACCCCAAGCTGGAAACACCAGACTCCAGTGTCTCCTTCAAGCCGGAAACACAAAAACTGTTGCGGCCCAACCAGGTTCATTCGTCCGCTGACCAAGACGAGGCCAATCCACTGAGACAGCAGGATTTAGGCAGAGAGTTTATTCTGCATAGTGCTAAGTGGGGAGACGGGAGAAATTTCTCAAATCCGCCTCCCTGAGAACTTGGGAGACGCGACTTTTTAAGGATAGTTTTGCAGGCAAGGGGTCAGGCAATTAGGTTTGTTAATTGGGGCAAAATTATAAGGGTGTGGAGATGACCTTGTGTCGTTTCATCATGCCTGTATCTAAACTATCTGGCCAGCAACAGCCGACGTTGGTCACCTCACTTTCCTCTGAATGTATTTCGAGATTCCACATCACTTACTCTTGGTGCCCACATCTAGGGCCCGCTTTTACCGATTACCACAAACACAAACTCCTTTGAAAAAACCAACTGAAAGGGAACTGAATGGAAAGAAAAGATGCATTAAATTCCTTTTACTTCCCGGGTGGATAGGCCAATGGCTGTTTGTGGTTGCCAGTGTCTGGGCGCCAGAGGTGGGCTGATCCTGTGGGAAGATGAGGGCTGATGGACAGTTGCACGGTAGGTCGGTAGCGGGCCTGTGGATCTCTCAAATTCCAGGGGACAAGATTGATGTGCCCTGTGTATCCGAGAGGGGTCCCTTCCCAACAGGCTCTGGCGAGCTGCAGACTGGTTCAGGTGTGGAAGATTATACCAACTTCGCTTTGATTTTTCTTGAAGAAACAAACAATGAAAGACAGCTGAAAACAAGAACCTTATTAGTGGGCAGGCAAGAGTTGTCTTCTGGTAAAGGGAAGTGTTTGGCCCCTTCCCAAGTTAGACTTCAATGAGCCTGGCTGCAAGTGAGCCAGAGGGAGATACCATGTGGGAAGGCGGGCAGGGGCTATCTTTGGAATGTCTGTGAGCAGGAGGCCCCACGCCACGCAGCGGACAGAGGCGCGGCTTGCAGCATCTCTGCCCTTCGGTCTGTGCTCAGCCTCCATCCCGAGGGCTCGCTCTGCGGCCTCACGTCTCACTTCCCCGCACGAACACCGGGTGGAGGAAGCTGTGGGTCCCGAGAAAGGGCAGCCCCATGGCCTGGCTCTCACCCGGTATTGTGTCTTTGAATCCGAACACATATTTTGTTGTTTTCGGTGGTGGCGGTGGTTTGTTTTAAACTGACCACTTGGAAGACATGCCTTGGATACCTGTGGTTTTCAGTCCCCGCCCCCACCAGCGTTGAGTGGGGTGTTCCACTTTTCTGTAGCCTGTGTGGAGCCAGGTGACGCGGCAGGAGGGTGCAAGCAGCTGTCCAGAGGCCCACTGGATCCTCATGGCGACTGTTTGGCTTCAGGTCGGCTTTGAGTTTTAACAGGAATAATCCGAACGGAGAAAGCGAACAGCTGCAGGTAACATTCCCTGCCCAGCTCTGTTCACAAATCTGCGTCGGACGAAGCGAAGCCCTTACGTGGTGACACCTTGGATGACCCGTGCGCATCTGCCCGTCGTGTGCGAGCCCCAAGGCCTGTCCGCTGGCGCAGATGCTGTGCGCGGCCGCCGCTCCGCTCACCCGGACCGCGTGCCTGGGCACAGGCGGCGCTCCGAGGGAATTCATTTTATGCGTTCACTGTTTCCTGAGCAAACGTCTGACTGTGTCCTCGGTGCATTCGGCAGCGTTTTCGCGGCAGTCCCTGCGTTTGCGGAGTTTTCACGCTCTCCTCACTGCGGTTCGCGCTGCTCCGTCCGCACCGAGAGGCCCGCGCTGCGCTCCTGAGCGGAAACGTGCTCCGAGCGCGCCCGCCTGCCGCGGGCCCCGGCCCCGCCCTCGGCACCGGCCCTCAGGAGAGTCCGCAGCCCCTTGCGACAGAGGACTACGAGAGAATTTCAGACAGAAATTTGATGGGATCCTCAGGTCCGGAGCCCGGACCGGCGCTGTCCCGAAGGCCGCGAGCGGAGCAAGCCCGTGTGGCCGGCGGCGGCGACGTGTCAGCAGCCTGCGGAGGCCTTGCCTTCCGCCGTTGTTCGAACCCCAAGTAACTCACCGAAGTGTCTCAACGAGAGCAAGTTTTACCCAGGTGAATCCTTCTTCAGTTAACTGGGCAAATGGGTGCGTTCTGGCCCTCTCAGGCTTCTCTCCCCAGTTGGAGCGGGGCTGTTCCGAGTGCTGACTGTCGGATTCGCCGCAGCGTCCTGCCCTAAAGAAGACAAAAACGCAGGCTGCGAAGCCGGACTTGGTTCCCAAGTCACATTCTGGCTCTTGCTACGAGAGGCCACCCTGCTCCGAGACAGACAAGGAGACAGAGAATTGAAGGAATAGTTAGGGGGGCAGGGAGATTCGATCGAGTCTGGTTTTCTAGGTGAATGAAAAGGCAAGGTTGGCAGAGGGTTTGGTGCCAGAGTCAAGAGATCTGCAAATGCTGTCACCTTCCCGCATGAGGCACGTCGCCATTTGTCAGCTATTGTGAATATGCGCATTTTAAGCAGTAAGATTCAGCCGGTCGGACTCCTCTGGGCGGTCCCAGTGCCATGTTTCCCACGCTGTGATTGCTTTGAGGGCAGGCGGTCTCTGACCACCGTGGAAAGCCCAGACAGGCTGGATGCGTGGCTCGGCCTGTAGTCCCAGCGCTTACAGAAGGCTGAGGCGGGAGGATCGCGTGAGCCCAGGAGTTTGAGACCAGCCTGGGCAATAGTGAGATCCCAGCGTGAAGAACTAGCCAAAAGAGCCTGGGGCAGCCACGGCCACTGAAGAGTGAGTGGCAGTCTTCCGGAAAGGAGAGAACCAGAGAGGTAGCCTTCAGTTTCTGTGGATAATTTTTCCTGTATCTCTGGCTGACATTTGCTTACTCATGTGTGAGGCAGACCTCAAGTAGTCGGGTCAAGACTAAAGCCCAGTGAAGACACCGCAGCCGCCGCAGGCTGCTTCCCTCGCCGAGTCCAGCGAGCACGAGAAGGCTGGTGCGCGGCTGGCGCTGGCTGGAGGGAGAGCTTCGGCAGCCTGCAGGCTGAAGGATCTGATCTGAGATTTGAGCTGCCAAGAAAAAATTACAGCTTGAGTCCAGTCACTTTAATTACCTGCTGAGACAAACTAAGCAAAAAGTAAACCCTCTTCAGAAGAATATATCAGAGTCTAGTACCAACGCAGCATAAAACACTCACAGTGCTCAGAATATAACTCAAAATTACTAGACATGCAAACAAATAGGAAAACACGACCCATCCTCAAGGGAAAAGATAACCCAGGTGTTGGAGTTACCTGAAAGGATTTTTAAAATAGGTATTATGGCAAATGCCTTTTGTGAATGAAAAGATGGGAAATCTCAAAGAAATATTAGCTAGAAAAATTGATCAAATGAAAATTCTAGAACTTAAAAATATAATACCTGAAATTTGTAAATTCACTTGTTGAACTAGCCAGCAGAATGGAGATGACAGAGGACTGAATAAGTAAACTTGAAGGTAGAACAATAGAAATTATCCAGTCTAAAAAAACAAATTAAAAAATGAAGTAAAATAAAGAAAATTCCATGGACCTTTGGGGAAATTGTGACATTGGACTCTAAGAAGTAGACATAAGAGAGAATGGGGAAGAAAATTTATTTGGAAAAAAATGTTCAAAGTTTCCCAAATGTGGCAAAAGACAAACATTTTCAGTGTGCAAAAAGCTCGGGGTTATGGACTGAATGTTTTTGTCCCCTTAAAAATTTACATGTTGAAACTTTAACCCCTAATGTGATGGTATTAAAAGATGGGCCTTTGGGAGCTAATTAGATTTAGATGAAGTCATGAGAGTAGAGTCCACATGATTGGAATAATGTTCTTATAAGAAGAGGAAGGAAGAGGAGCTTGCTCATGCGTGCATGCACTCACGCTCTGTCTCTCTGACACACAGCATAACTGAAATTGAAAAAATGCAAAGAATACCACATCTTAGCACATTATGATCAAACTGCTGGCAGGTAAAGATACAAATAAAATTCTTGAAAGCACAAAGAAAAAAAAATTACATCAGAACACAGTTTGAAATATGTCTGACTTCTCATTAAAACTATGAAAGCCAGAAGAAAGTGGAACAATATCTTTGAAATGCTAAAGAAACAAACAACCGTCAAACCAGAATTCTACATCCAGAAAAAATATCCTTCAAGAATAAAGGTGAAATAAAGGCAGTTTCAAATACATCCTATCTAAAAAGGATTTATTGATAAAATCCCTGTCTAAAGAAATGCTAAAGGAGGTTCTTTAGACCCAAGAAAAAGGATACCAGACAGAAACTCACATCTTCAGGAAAAAATAAAATTATTGAAAATGGTAAATATAAGGGCAAATATAAAAGATGATTTTATTTCTCTTCTTTAAAAAGCATATAACTGTTTAAAGCAAAATTTACAACATTGTCTTGTGTGTTTATACTTCATGTCGATGAAATGCAAATCACAACTATAGCATAAAGAATGGGAAATCCAACGGAAAATAACAGATACATTTTAAGCACTGGGAAACAAATCTTAAAACTTATTAC